CTCACCCAGCTGTTAGTAACCATCATTTTACTTTCTATTTCTATGATTTTGACTACTTTAGATACCTCACATAACTGGAATCATACAGTATGCCTTTTTGTCTCCAGTTTATTTCACTTAGCATAATATCCTCAAGGTTCATCCATGTTGTACCATGTCAGAATTTCCTTCCTTCTTGTCAGAATAGCCATCATTAAAAAGTCTACAAATAATAAATGCTGGAGAGTGTGGAGAAAAAGGAACCCTCCTACACTGTTGGTGGGACTATAAATTGGTGCAGCCACTATGGAGAACAGTATGGAGGTTCCTTAAAAAACTAAAAATAGACTTACCATATGATCCAGCAATCCCACTCCTGGGTATCTATATGGAGAAAACTAATTCAAAAAGACAAATGCACCCCAGTGCTCACAGTAGCACTATTTACAATAGCCAAGACATGGAAACAACTTACATGTCCACTGGTAAGTGAATGAATAGAGAAGACATTACACTTACACACACACACACACACATATATGTATATAATAAAGTGGTGGTATATAGACACAGTGGATTACTCAGCCATAAAAAAGAATGAAAACTGCCATTTGCAGCAACATGAATGGACCCAGAGATTATCATTAAGTGAAATCAGAGAAAGACAACTGTGTATCATTTTTATGTGGAATCTAAAAAACAAAAAACACTCACATTTTATTTAATCAGAACAAAAACAGATTCACAGACATAGAAAACAAACTATGGTTACCAAAGGGGAAAGTGGGGAGGGATAAATTAGGAGTTTTGAATTAACACATACACATTACTATATATAAAATAAACAAGGATATACTGTATAGCACAGGGAACTATATTCAATTTCTTGTAATAAGCTATAATGGAAAAGAATCTGAAAATATATGTATATATATGTGTATGTGTGTGTATATATATATATATATGTACGTGTGTATAACTGAATCTCTTTGCTGTACACCTGAAACTAACATTGCAAGTCAAACTACACTTCAATAAATAAGATTTTTTTAAAAGGATTTCCTTCCTTAATGCTGAATAATATTCAACTGTGTGTGCTTTTATGTATTTTGCTTATCCATTCATTCATCAATGGGATATTTCAGCTGCTTCTACCTCTTGTCTATTGTGACTAGTACTGCTATGAACATGGTGTACCAAAAAAAATCTCTTCAAGACCCTGTTTTCTTGCTGGGTCATATGATAGTTCTATTTGTAATTTTTTTGAGTAATCTCCATACTGTTTTCCATAGCAATCGCACCATTTTACAATCTTGCCAACAGTGAACAAGAGTCCCAATTTCTCCACATCCTTGCTAACACTTGTAATATTCTGGCTTTTTGAAAGTATCCTAATGGGTGTTGAGATAGTATTGTGGTTTTGATTTGCATTTCTTTGATTAGTGATGTTGAACATACTTTTATATGGTTGTTGGCTATTTGTATATAATCTTTGGAGAAATGTCTATTCAAGTCTTTGCTCATTTTTAAACCAAATGATTTGACTCTTTTGAGTTATCATTCATGCTTCTAGCTCTTAACCCCTTATCAGACATATGATTTGTAAATATCTTTTCCCATTTCATGTTGCCTTTTCCCTGTTGACTGTACCCTTTGATGCACAAAAGTTTTAAGTTTGATGTAATCTTACTTGTCTATTTCCGCTTTTGCTGCCTGTGCTTTTGGTATCACATCCAAAAACTACTGCTAAGGCCAATATCATGGAGCTTTTTATACTTGTGCTTTCTTGTAGGAGTTTTATAGTTTCAGGTCTCACATTCAGGTCTTTAATCCATTTCCAGCTCATTTTTGTATATGGTGTAAGATGAAGGTCCAACTCTTCATTCTTTTGCATGTGTATATCCAGTGTATTTCTCAACACCATTTGTTGAAAAGACTTTCCTTTCCTCAAGATAATTTGATCATATGCAAGGGTTTATTTTGGGGCTATTATATGCCACTATTCTATTTGTCTATCTTTATGCCAGTACCACACTGTTGTGATTACTATAGCTCTGTAATACTTTGAAATTAGGAAGTGAGTCCTCCACTTTGTTCTTATTCAAAATTTCTTTTGGCTATTTGGGGTCCCTAGAAATTTCTTATAAATTTTAGGATGAATTTTTCTATTTCTGTGAAAAATGTCATTGAGTTTTTTCTAAACTGAAGTATAGCTGACTTACAATGTTGTTAGGAGTTTCTGGTGTACAGCATAATTCAGTTATACATATATATCCTTTTTCATATTTTTTATTATAGGTTATTACAAGATATTGGGTATAGTCCTGTATGCTACACAGAACGATCTTGTTGTTTATTTATTTTATAAAGTAGTTTGTATCTGGCTATTGACATTTTGATAGAAATTGTGTTGAATTCATACATCTTAGTAATATTAAGCATTTCAATCCATGAACATGAGATATCTTTCCATTGATTTGTGTCTTTAATCTCTCAGCAATGTTTTGTAGTTTTTAGTGTATAAACCTTCCACCTCCTTGGTCAGGCTTATTAAGTACTTTATTCTTACGATACTACTATAAATGGAATTGTTTCCTTTTCAGATTGTTCATTATTAGCGTATAGAAACACAACTGATTTCTGTGTTGATTTAGTATCCTGCAATTGTGCCAAATTTGTTTATTAATTCTAATAGTTTCTTTTGTGTAATATTTAGGGTGAACCTCAGTTTTTAAAGTGGTAAGTGAAGAATACTTTTGGACATGCATATTAAGGTTATCAAAGTTAATGGGTGTGACAATGAGTAAACTGTCTTAAGAGTACAAGATTATACTCATCTTATTCAGGATTAATTTTGATATACTTAACCTTTTATTTTTCTGCCCTATCTTTTCCCCTCACCTCAAAAGCACCTTGAGATTATCAAATATCAGACTTTTATATCTAAAACAATCTTCTAAGAACTGTGTTTTACCAATACAGATTCTTTTCTCATTTACACATTTGAGCTAATATATTCGCCTAACTCCTCCACCCCACCAAAAATCAGGTCCACAAGTATGCTGGCTAAATCTTTCACGCAAATACATTCTAGTTAGTGACATTAGTTCATCATAAATCCATGAAGCTAACTTACAAGAAACTATCAATTTTACTTTAAACAGCAAACTACTAAGCACCAAAATAAGCCTCAAACCAACACAACCGAACCATCCACTTATGGAAATAAAAATAACAAACCCCAGAACTTTAAGGATTATTGAGCTAAACTACTTTATTTTTATTTTCTCTCTCTTCTAAAGCAACGAATAAGTATTCAGGAATTATTGTAAGACAGCTAAACTAATATTCAATGCATCACGTAAGACTTCTAAGCTTTCTCATTCCTCCTTACCACTACAGTATAAACTGCTATATTCTTTATCTTTTGTAACATAAACAAAAATGTTAAGAACTAGTTAGAACGCTAATGAGGGCAAGGGCTGACTTAGCATTCAGACAATCACTGACAACCTTCAGCAACGTCGTTAAAATGGTATGAGGAAAGAAAAGCCAAAATGAAGCTTTTTACAGATAACAAAACTGTGGCCTATCATTCACTATTTAAGCAATGAAAGTGGTATCAAAATCAACTCTGAACTGAGGTTTATTTCTCTTTTTTTTCTCTACTGGTTTGGAAGTTATTCCCTTTATTCCTTCAATTATACTTAAATTATAATGTGCCTTCTTATGAGACTTTAAAAGCAAGTCATTTTCTTTACCCTCCCCCTTAAACATCTTAGATGGTTTCTCTCTCAATACCCCCAGCAACTTGCTTAACTGAATGCTGCCTTTATTGTTCTCTCCAACCAGCTAGTTAGGTTTTCATGCAATTTTCTCTCAACTAAACTTTCTTTTGGGGTCGGGGGAGTGATAAGTAATGAGAATACAAACTTTAAATACTGATGTTCAGCTCAGACTCTGCCACTTAATACTATGGAAACTATTTCTTGTTTCTTCGAATGAACTGTTTCCCTTCACTGTTCAAAAAGTACCTTATGTCTGAGAGGCACTGCGCCGCTTTCAAAGCAGTCATGCCTTCTACCATTCCCTCCAAGTGGAAGGTAGAATCCAAGAGGGATTCTACCAATCCCTCTATTACACTTCCGCGCATACTACTTTCAATTTTCCTAGCAACCAAACACTGCTGTGAGGAGACCGCAACGCAGCGCTAGATGCTCCGCATCCCGATAAAGGCCCCCAGAAGTAGCCAAGTCTCTGGGCAACACTCCCAAAGTCTAAAAAGAATCACGATGCTCTTCACCACAGGAAAAAGAAATGGTGCTAACTGAGGATAGAAGGGTACCAGGTGAGCGAGGAGACAGGGCGGAACAAGACTCATCGTGCCCCGCCGCGGAAGTCCGAGCGGCTCTGCGAGCCGCGCTGTCCCAAACAATGGAGTTTTCCCGCCTCCCCAGGGCCCCGCCCCCTGCTCAAGGGCCGGCTGAGAAACGAACGCACGAGCGCACAACCCCGCCCCCGAAAGGCCCCGCCCACTCCGACCCACCGGTCCAGCCTCCTTCCTCGTGTAGGGGTGTATTTTTTTTTTTTTGGCGCCAAATCTCTGCTGGTTTATTTTCCCAAGTTGTTTGGGGATTCTACCCGAGGCGTAGGCCAGGAGTGCGGGAACCGCAGGGCGTAAAGGCATACCCGCGCGCCCAGGCCCCGCCTCCCCGTCGATAGCCCCGGGCCGGGGAGGAAGGAGAGGGGCAGGCGATGGAGACAGCCGCCGCTGCCCCCGGCAAGATGGCGGCCGCGAAAAGCAGGGCAGGGGGCGCCAGCCGACCGGCGTTACTGCTAATGAGAAAGGCTCTCTGCAAGAAGTGGGCTTCTCCAGTGTCCAGGTCTCCCCGAACAGCGACGGTTGTTCATTGGGAGGCCCGTCTTCCCACCCTCTGGTCTGTCCCTCCAGGGTAGCCTCCGTCCACCACCCCCTCCCTGCGGACTGGCCAGTGCCTCAAGCTCTCCACGATCCAGCTTACTTTTCGGCGGAAACCAGCTCCGCGGCGATGGCGGCAGTGGCTGTGGACTCTGCGGCCATCGTTCCCCTGAGGTGGTGGACCAGCGGACGGAATAGAGCCTGTGAAAAAAACAGAGGGAATTTGGGACGCCAGAGACTTACTCAGGGACAAAAAATGGCAGATTGGAGACCCCGCGCGGCTGGGCCCTCTTATATACCAGGGCCTTTCGCCCCGCCTATCCACTTCCGGATCCTCCCCCTGGAGTTTAAAGGGCCAAGACTCAGCCCCAATCCAGCCCAAGGACAATTCCCGTCTTGATTCTGTGGGGTACCTTTCCTTCCTGGCCTGCCTCCTCGAAAAAAGCAACTTCCTACTTCTCTAGCAAGTCGAGTTAGAATTAGAATCTTGACACTACAACTGCTGACTGGACGTCTGCCAGCGGCTTTCAGAGAAGAGAAAGCTAGTGCTGCTCTACATGTTTGGAGCGAGCAGCAGAGGGTCACTTTCCAGCCCGGATACTCAGAGAGGTAACTGAGACTTTCTGTCCGTCCTCTCAGTCGTAACGGATGGACACGATAGAGCCAAGCTCTGGTATAGCAGCTACGACTAAAACTGATCTCGGTGAGGGACGCGTGGCTCTGAGCCTCAGCAACAACTGACGCAAGAAAATACTGTCCCAAGATTGGCCACCGCCGAAACTGCCGCGCTTGATTCAAAGCTCAAGGCTATGGCGGGACACGGGTAGCCCCTCCCTCTGGACCCGCCCTCTTCGGCTAGCCCAATCCGCTGACGCCATCCTCGTAGGCCCTACCCAGACTCTAAATCTGACTAGCTTAATTCTCCCAGCTTTTTACTTCCGCTCCAAGCTACGATTTAGCCTTCGTTCGTCCACTGCGTGCGGGGGTACTGTGCTTTAAAGCTATTAGCCGTCTTACTTAATCTTAACAGCAACGCTACTAATGACAATGGTGTTGAGAGCCACATTTGGTAGAAATAGAAACCAAGGTTCAGAGAGGGTGTGACTTGCTCAGAAAGTTGCAAAACAAGTCATTTATTGAAAGCAATGTGCCTCATTTTTTTTCCTGCAACTGGCCGAGCGGAAGATAATTGGCAGGCTGAAATGATTGCATTTCTTCACACACGGAGCATCATCCATTGCTTTCCACCAATGGCCTTGCCTGCAGTGATCAGAACAGGGATTTTATTTCTGTTCAGTTTTAGGCATCCTGGGAAAGATTCCTGGGGAGGATTCTTATTCCAGTCTGTCAAGACTTAGGCAGTTTGAGATCTTTGAAGGTAAAGAGCTGGACCTGCAAATGCCAATTCCTGTAGCAAACAGACGTAGGCTCCTCCGTTTTTAGCTAGGTGACCTGAGCTAAGTCATGTAAATTTATAAGATTAAATGTAAAATAGGGACAATATTAGTGATCCACCCTTTAAGGATATTGTGAAAATTTGAGGTAATGCTTGCTTCAGTAATCAGCACTATGCCTGGCTCATGCTAACCATTTACTAAATGACTACCACAGTCTGATAACACCGTGAGTGGAGGTTTGGGCTCCAGGGAAGGGAGATCTCCCCAGATTAGGTCCTGAGAAATCCAGTTCAGAAACTTGTGTGACCCACTCATTCATTAAACTAATATTCACTGAGCAAGTGTAATATGCAAGGCTTTGAACTAGCACCTAAGGACAAAAGACATGGTCTCTGTCTTTGAGGAACTCAGCCTTATAAAAACGTATGTTTAAAATGGATTTTAAATCCAGCCACTACTTTCAGTTTTTACTACCACTACTCAGATCCAAGCCTAGCCACTATCATCTCTTGCCTGTACTGCTACATAACTTCTGGTCTCTGCTTAACCCTCTCCAGAAAAATATTTTTAAAGTGTAAATCATTCTCCTTGAATAGATTTCCATTACTCTTAGAAGAAATTTTGAGCTCCTTTTCGTTACCTACAAAGTCTCACATGATCTGGCTCCAATCCACTGTCCACATTCATCTCATACTGCTCCTCTTCCTTCACCATACTCCTACCACACTGATAAAGGTAAAACTGGCAAGATCATACAGAATGGGAAAGGAAGCAATAGCAACAAAATTTTAAAAGCTGGAAAAGAGATGGACAAGTAGTAACTGACATAGCAGACTAAGAAAGGAGACTCCCAATGGGGAAAGCCAAAAAGCAGCTAGATTGACAACAGAGAAACTACCAAAGGCTCATGAATTGGTTGCAGGAGGTACCTCTAAGAGTAGCGGGGAAGACAGGGATGAAAAAAGCAGGTTAGGTTGATTTTTTTTTCCACGTAGAGGAAAGTGCGAACACAGTCCCCCACTACCACAAATTATGTGGTCGAGTTTCCCGCATTTGGAGAAATTGCAAAATCAGCACATCCGGAGTGCAATGGATAAGCCTCGCCTGGGAAAACCACCTTTGTGATCATGGTATCTCCTCAGCAAGTAAGTATAGATTGAGAAATTTTCAGAGGCAGTTAGACCCTCTAAATCTTCTCCCCGAAGCAAATGTAAAACTGGAAGTTTACTTTTTGGAGAGAGTAAAACAGAAAGGACGTTGAACTGAATGAGAGTCAAAGGTAGAAGAGGTATATTGAAAAGAAAGGGAAAAAATAAATGATTATGTACAAAATGTTGAGACCTTGTGACAGCCTGCTGGTTGTCTCCCAATATCTATTTTTCTCTTCTATAGTAGTGATAGAACCCTGATTTTTATTTATTCATGTATTTATGTTAGTGCATAGCCACTAGAATAAATCCCTTGGAGCTAAAAGTCCTCACATGATGACATTCTGGTCAATGGAAAGTGAACAGAAGCAATGTGTACAACTTTGTGTAGACAAATCAAAGGTAAAGGCCCTGCCTCTCAGAAGATGTAGTGGTGAATCAGCTTGGACCATGTCAATTAGGGCGATGTACCAGGAATGACAAAGCAGTAAAATGCCTAGGTTCCTAGCATCACAGAGCCACCATAGCAGCTCTGGGCTGCTTTCTACAAAAATGTAACATAAGAGCGAAATAAACTTCTTAGATATAGCCATCATATATCAAGCAACAACTATAAGAATCACAAAAGAAACAGAGATAAATCAACAATTGTACTTGAAATTTTTTATGTCACTCAGAAAAGCATTGCAACAAGCAGACAAAAAATTAAGCCAGAGCTAGAGAAGACATGACTAATATTATTAATATGCTCTAGTGACTAAATATATATAGAAATCTATGCACAGAAAAGTAGCAAAAACACATTATATCCAAACATCATAGATCTTTACAAAAATGGGCCCTGTATTAGGCCACAAAGAAAGCCTCAAAACATTCTGAAGAGTCATTATCATATGGATTATCTTCTCCAACCATAAAGCTTTAGTGCATTGCAAATTAACATTTATATATTGTATAAATAATAGCCCTTGGATTAAAAAAATCATGAAGGAAATTGAGAAATGCTTAGAACTGAGTGATAATGAACACACTACATGTCAGAATTCATAGGACACAGATAAAGCTGTATTCAGATGAAGAATTACAGCTTTCAAAAAATTTTATCAGGAAACAAACAAAAATGACCTAAGAACTGAACTAATGAAGTTAGAAAAAGAGCAACAGAGAAATCTCAAAAAAGACGGAAGGACATTAGAAAAATAGGGCAGAAATCAAGTGAGAGAAAAGATTAATGAAACTAGAAACTGGTTCTTTGAATATTCTTTGAATTTTCTAAATATAGATATAGAAAAATATATAGATAGCAAATGCAAAATAGAAAATGCAGAAGAAATAACTATAGAAACCATAGGCACAATTTTTAAATAATTGTATTATTAATAATTATATGCTAATAAATTTGAAAACCCAATGGAGAGATCCTAGAAAAAAATCAAAGTGCCAAAATTGGCACAAGAAGAAACAGAGACCTTAAGGAGATTGATTAATAATAAACATTTGAAAACGGTAGTCAGATTTCCCAGCATTCCTCCCAGATGGTTTTATAGGTGAGTTTAACACATTTACAAGAAACATTTCCAGACAGAAAAAAAGCAAAAACTTTTCTAAGATAGTAATAGAACCCTGATTTTTATTAATAAGATTTAGGGAAGACTTCCAGTTAAAGATAGTGGGTTGAACACATACATGTATAGACAGGAAAAAAAAAAAAACTAATGTAGTCTTGATTCCAACAATAGGAAAATATAAAAACCAAAGTAACAAGCCTCTTTCTTTTGTGAACATCGTTGGATACTTCCTAAATAAAACATTAGCTGACCGTACTAATTAGGTCAGGGAAATATTTCTATGGTAGCAAGTAATCCCAAAACATCAATGGCTTCATTCAATAAGGTTCAGTTTCCAGTCATACCATATTTCATCTCAGGGCAGCTGGAGGCTTTGTTCTATGTCATCCTCACTCTGGGTCTCAAGCTGATGAAACAGCAACCATAAATAATAAAGCGTATTGCTTGTTGCTATTTCAGAGGGAAAGAAAATGTTGGAACTCACATTTGCTATGTTAATATCTCTGGAATACTAGAGTAAAGCTTGAATGCAAAAAGTGACACCCTGGATCTCCACAAATAGAAGTCATCTATCCCTGTTGTGGCAAAATTGAATGGCTCTTGACCTTATGATCACAGCTCATGGTGATGTCGCACTCTTGTCAACACAAGTTATTAAACTATAAAGCCAATTAGAAAGAAACATCACAGGGGAGGGTACAGCGCAGTGGTACAGTGCATGCCTAGCATGCATGAGGTCTCTAGGTTCAATCCCTAGTACTTCCTCTGGAAAAAAAAAAAAACAGATAAATAAACCTAATTACCTCCCCTCCCCCCAAAAAAGAAACATCCCTAAAATTAAAGAAACAGTCTTGATTCTCTACTCCATCAGAGAAAAATAACTGATTAATTCAGATAGAGCCTGGATGTAAGGAAATGAAACAGAATGAGATTTAAATGTCATTAAATGTGGATTAATTATCTTGGCAAAAATATATACTCTCCATGTATTTATTATACTACCTCAGGCTATATGTAATATATAAAAGTCATATTGTATAAAACAACCTATTAAAATCTTGAAAGGCCAAAAGCCCAAGAGGTAATGAAACAAAACAAAGACACATAACTGTATGAGCACATTTATAGCTTCATGAATATACAAATGCCAAAGTGTAGATGATCCTCAAAGAGGAAAATCAACAGAATTTGTCATGAACATTCTAGAAGTTAACATCTCAATCGAATAAAGAGATCTGCAATGTTTTAATGCTTTTGATAAGTATTAGGACTTGTTAATAGATATTTTCCTGGACAAATATTATGACCTGTTTCAACTGTATGTTATCAGTTATCAGTCCCCTTTCTCCAAGTATCATTTTTAAGTTTGTCAGACTTTGACTACAAGTTTCCCTTTCCTTCCTCTACAGAATATCACAAGGTCCTATTTTTCCTAGAGTGTGAGACAGACCCTCCTCCCTTGCAGACCACAAGGCAGTTTCTGAAAGGGGTCTTGGATCGTACTTGTGTATGTAGAATTTTGATGTAAGGGACTGGAATGTGGTAGTGCTAGCCTCTAGCTGGTGAGCATTCTTTCTTCCGTCACAATATAGCCTTATAAAGGCAAGTCTCATTTTAAAATCTGAGTCTATGGTCTTTTACTCAAAACAATAATTATATAAAGAATCCATTTTGCAAAAGTACTTAAGGACTTCATAGTTTTCCCAAAGGACCTTCCTTTATACTTTGATATTCTAAACGTCTTCTTTTGAAGTCTAGTGTCCTCATCTTTGCTTTTCTTTTTCAGTTAACTGTCAGACCCTCACTTTTCAATGGTTTGGGTATGTGTTAATTTCCCAAAATCACTTTCATTGCTTCATAAAGTACTGTATCTTTTGCAAGATTTGCAATTCCACTTTGCAGTGGATGTGCATTGTACTGCCCAGTGATTAGACAAAGATGTCAGTAAATGCTGATGTTAGCAGAGATGTTTGACTCACTTAAAATAATTCTTAAGTAGTCAATTTGTAAGTGAATTATTTGATGTTATGACAACTTTCGCTTCCTAATATGAGCTGAATTATGTCCTCACCCCCAAATTCATATGCTTAAGTACTAACCTCCAGTACGTCAGAATGTGACTGTATATGGAGACAGGGTCTTCAAAGAGGTACTTAAGTTAAAATGAGATCATTAGGATGGGCCCTAATCCAATATGACTGCCTTATAAGAAATTTGGATACAGATGCATAGAGAGGGAAGATAATGTAAAGAGAGGGAGATGTCCATCTATAAGCCTGAGAGAGGCCTGGAACAAACCCTTCCTCCACATTGCTCAGAAGGAACCAATCCCGCTGACACTTTGCCCTCAGACTTTTAACTTCCATAACTGTGAGAAAATAAATTTCTGTTGTTTAAGTCACCCATTCTGTGGTACTGTTATGGCAGCCCTAGGAAACTATTTAATACACTTCATACTCACACTTCCTTGTAACTGTGGAAACTTGGATCACGGAAGAACATAAGGGAGCTCTCACCTGGGGAGGGTGAGACCAAGAAAGATGTTCCAGAGGAAGTGAAAGCTAAACTGAATGTTTAAGTAATACATATTCACCCCACAGTGGGCTAAGAGGCAGATTGTTCCAAGTAGAATAGACCAGAGACAAGACTAGCTTCCAACATGCCCACCTCCAACCACTTTTTATCCCTCTAATCCATTTTCCCCACTGTACCAGCGCTGTGTGCAAATCATGCCATGTCACTGCTGCTCAAAACTCTTCCATGGCTTCCTGCTGGATTCAAGGTAAAAAAACCTAAAACCTTAACCCAGTCTTCTAAGCCTTCTATCCCCAGGCCCCTACCTTATTCCAGCATCATCTCATGCCATTCCACCACCCCCACTCACTTTCAGTTTGTCATACTTTCGGTTTTTCTAACAGCTTCAAGGCTTTCCCCCCAACTGATCCAATCTGCATGGAAGACTATTCCCACTCCCACCTCTTTTAACTAATTAATCCCTACTTATCCTTCAGATCAGAGCCAATTAAATCAGTAGCCTTCTCGCTCTGTGTTTTCTCATAGCACTTCTTCCAACTGTAATTAAACTAATTACGCAATTACTTAGTCTGTCTCAAGTAAACTGTAGCGACCTGTGTGTCTTGGTTATAGCTATGTCCCCAGGGTCTAGCATAGTGCGTAACCATATAAATACCCAATGAATATTTGCTGAATGAAGAGCAATGGTCCGCCTAGAAAACTAAAATGAGTTTTGTGTGACTGGAATTGAGGGGTTTTTCCAAAAACCCTCCTAAAAATCTCAGTAGCCTCTGATGGGACAATAAAATATATAAGATAGATATGATAAATCACAGAGAAAATGTGACAGTGAGTGTGTATATGTCCATGAATGACTGAAAAATTGTGCTGAACACTGGAATTTGACACAACATTGTAAAATGATTATAAATCAATAAAAAATGTTAAAAAAAAAGAAATAGAGTCGAACTAAAAAATATATATATATATATAAGATAGAACCTTAGGTGCAGAGCGACAAGCTTTGGGGCTGACTCTGCCTCCTTCAGGTAGCCTATGCACACTGACCATAGAGAAAAAGCTCCTACCCACCTTTCCTGATCCTGCAAGCTGGGACTCCCAAACTTCTGAATGTAAGTTTTTTGGCTCTTTATATTCGTAAACCTAGGTACTGACACGAGGGGTTGGGCTGAAGGTAGAAATTCAAGGCTCATACCCAGCAGTGCCAAGAAACCACAGGACTCTGCCCTGATCTCAATCCTTAAGTGACCAATTTTTGGCATTCTCACTAAGACTACTTTGAGGCAGCATGCAGTGCTAAGAACTGCCACTAGATGCCACTACTCTGCTAACATACCTAATTTAGGAAAGCAAACAGGAAATTGAGCTACACCCTTGTTTCTCCAGAGCCAAGAAAGATAAGGGAGTTTGGGCTCAGGGCAGGTCGCACCGAGCATCACTAAGAGAAACAGTTTCCATCTCAGGTCTGACCAAACAAATAAGCAAGTAGCATGGATGTTCCAATGGCTTTATTAACTCCCTTTCTAGGGATGGCAGGACTTTGTAGCTGGAGAGCTGAAAAGCCAGGAAGCTGTGGTCTCAATATGGGTCGTTAAAGGGGTACAGAGGGTGCCCTGCATCTCTCTGGACCCTCTTCCCATCCACCTGGAAAGAGAGACAGATGACTCCATTAGCAGGAGCTGACATTCCAGAGACCCAGGGCATCTTTCCCCCAATCTTCCTTAACAACCTCACCTGTGTGCAGCATTATTCCAGATTGCAGTCACAGGGCCCTGGCCTCACAAAATGCCACAGTATCAACAGCATTTCAGCACCAAACCCACAGCCTGGCACGCAGCTGACCCTGCCCCTAAGAGTTTGTGGTCTCAGCTGGGATTTAGAACTATTTATTTCCCTATGTGCAGCAGACGTCAGCCCAACCTCAGCTCCTCAGCAAGGCTGAGAATGCCTTCAAGGCTCCCTGCATTTATATCATTTACTGAGAGATCACTACATGTCAGGAACTTGGATCATTTTAAACATGGGAAGCTGAAGCTTGGGGAAGTTACATAACTTGTTCTCGGTTACATCGAAAGGCGGGACTGGAACCCACAGGCTATGTGCCTTATCCCTGAGCCGAAGTACTCCTGCGAGCTCGTTAAAGAAAACAGAGCTCCTTGTATCCAGGGCAGCAATCCTACCAGTAACAACACCCTGCCACTCCTCTGACCAGCGAGGTCGGGGCCAGAATCCCACCCCAGATTTCACATGCCCTGTCTCTGGAGGGTGATATATACTCACCGTAAGCATTGGCACAATGAATCGTAAATTTTTATTCAGGGCATCCAGCTGCTTCATCTCCTCCGGGCTAATGGTGAAGTCAAACACCTGGGGATGGGAGGTAGGGGTCAGGAAAGCCAGTTTTGTGGGTGGAAGTTGGGGTTCCAGAACACTGCCTTCTTAGCCAGGCAAAGTCAGGGCCAGACTGAGTCCCAGTGGGCTAAAGAAGACAGGACAGACATATCACCAAGTACCTGGATGTTCTGAAGGATACGGGAAGGTGTGATACTCTTGGGGATGCAGATGACTTTCCGCTGGACCTGCCACCTAAGGTGGGGGATTGAAGTAGACAAGGAAATGGAATCAGTACTCTTAAGTGTTTTTGTTTTTTGTTTTTTGTTGTTTTTTTTTTTTTGTCCTCTGTGCAGCCTTCTCTAAGCTCCTGGAGCCCCTGAGCCCCACTGGCATGGGGAACACGCCTCAGAGTAACCTCTCCCCAGATCACGTAGCAAGATTCTCAGCTTCATCCAGGCATTTGGATAAGGAACCTCTCAACCCTTGCCTCCCAGGAGCCCTCTCCCTGACCTTATCATCTTTCCCCAAGATTGCTCGCACCTGAGCAGGATCTGAGCTGGAGACCGGCCATGCTTTTCAGCCAGTGCCAAGACCACTGGCTCCTCCAGCAGGACGGGCTCACCAGGATCACGCCAAGCACGATCAGAGGAGCCCAGAGGGCTATAAGCAGTCACCTCCAGGCCGCGTGCTTGGCAGTGGGCAATGAGCTCGTTCTGAGCCAGGTATGGGTGGCATTCCACCTAAGCCAAGAAACAACCCATCACCATGGGGAGACCACACCCAGACACGCACATCTTGACCCCCTACTTCCCCTCAACCTGCTTTTCTCATTCTCAGTTTTCCACTGTCCATTTCATTACCTTCCCACACTTCAAACGCCGTTTTTATGCAGAGGATTTCTGCACCAACACTTCTAACAACTTTCTAGGTATCCCCATGAGTGGACCCATCATCTGCTCACTCATGCTTTTGCATATACCCCCGACCCCAAAGCAACTGGTCTGCTTTGCTGTGCTCACCTGCAGGACAGCTGGGCGCACAGAGGCCACACTGAGCACATCATCAATCTGCCGACTGTTGAAGTTGGACAGGCCCAGTGCCCGCACCAGCCCTTTAGCCACCAGTGCCTCCAGAGCCTTCCAGGTCTCCTTGTAGTGGATGGAGTCATAGCGGATAGTCCCATCGGCATTCTTAGGGAAGGGGTTATCTCCCCGCCTGAGTGAAAGACAGGCCCCCAAGAGTGGCACAAATGCCAGGCTCCTGCCTACCCACCCATCCAGCCATACGCCAAAGCCCAGAAAGGGGAAAGGGCCAAGAAAGAGAAACAAGCATGGTTTTTTCATTCTTCTAGGTCATGACCTAAGTGTTAACCCTACATGGAATGCCCATTTTCCCTCCTCTTCTTCCTAGACACAGATCATATCCTCTCTCCTCTGGCAAGTCTTCCTTTCTCCTTGGGGAGTTGCACGCCCCTCCAGCCTTCGTCAAGCACAGGACACAGGGCCAGTGGTCAGCTTCTCTCACACCCTCCTGGGGAGCTTATTCTTTACTGCAACCCTAGCGCAGCAGAAGCTAGTACATTTCCTAAGTGTAAAGGCAGCAGCAGGAAGGACCACCCATGCACACCCTAGGATACATGCCATGTGAGGCTGCACTCCTTTTTCTGTAGCTAAACTCCTGGCTGCAGCAACAGCAGAAAACGTTTAGTTCCCATGGCAAGCTCCTCCCTCAGTATGCCACACAGATGAGTGTACCTCCCCTGCTCTGCTACTGTGACTTACAAAAAGTTACTAACACGACTCCCCCAACCCCCGGCTCCCTAGATGAAGACCCCAGCAAGGCTCACTCAAAGGCATGAGGCCAGTGCATCAGGTACAGGTCCAAATACTCCAGTTGGAGGTCAGCCAGCGTCTTCCGGAGGGCAGGCTCTACATCCTCAGGGTGGTGCTTCGTGTTCCACAGCTTGGAAGTCACAAACAGCTCCTCCCGAGGCACCGCCTGGTGCAGGGGGCAGGGTCCAGAGTGAGAAGAGCCAAGGGCACCCAATCCCATTCACCCTCACCTCTGGGAGAGGAATTAGAAGGAAACTGATGCCAGTTCCCTCCAGCCTGGCCTCAGCACCAGCCTCTGAGTTTTCACCTCACCGCTCTATAGCCCAGTCCTCACCTTGCCAGGTCCCACATTCTCCTTCAGGGCCTCCCCAATCTCAGTCTCATTCCCGTAGACAGCAGCACAGTCAATGTGGCGGTAGCCTACACTCAGGGCATACTTAATAGCTTCTTTTACCTGCCAGGTAAGAAAAGCAGAACTTTTAGATCTATTGGTCTAGACCAGAAACTGCCTTCCTGAGGGTCACTGATGAGGGAAGGGGGCAGGAAGTTACCACTGCAGTCATCCATGCAGTGGAGGTGAGAAGATGGAAGGTGGCTCTAGTCTAGGGAACCAGAAGCCTCTTCAAACACCCCAAAACCTTTGTCCCCACCCCACTAACCTCCAAGGTTCCTTCCTACCCAAGCCATATCAGCAGCGCCCCACAAAAAATTAACGTGTTCCCAGCTAGATGCTCGGGTGGGTGGATACACTGACAGAGGACAGAAGGCAGAAGTATAGGTCATAGAGACAGGTCCCCAGCCCCGAGGAGTTGGTTCGGGAAACATGATACGTACGTAAATAATTCCTAGGCCAAGGCCACAGGGAGAGAGAACTTCAGGGAGCCATGCAGACCAAGAGAGCTCAGGCGAGCAGAAGAGGTGAGAGAGAAAATTAAGGAAGGTAGAGAAGTGAGATGGAAGCTGGGTTCAAAGACCTACATCAGGAGAGAAGAAAGCAGGTACCAAGGAGGACAGGTCAGTCTGTTAAAAACCAGACTAGAAACATGGTGTCAGGAGCAGAACCAAGGGTACCAAGCCCTTGCCATTCAAGGTCCCCATTTAGGCGCAGCTCTTACTATCCAGACATACGCCTCTCAGACCTGGCCCTACGGCTGCTGCTCCATCCCCATCCCTATTCCCTCCATCCCTGCCCCGCATCTTGGCCCTGATTCTGGCTGCCACCTCCTGCCTCCATCTAGCTCCTGGACATGTCCCAGGCCATGTCAGTGCCTGCCTCCAGCACCAGGCTCCTGGGCAGCTGTGAGAAGGAAAGCAAAGGGAAAAAAGGGCAGAGATCATCCAACCACACCACAAAGCCCAGCCTAAATCCCGGAGAGAAGAGGCCATTCTCTCTGCCAGAGTTCCTCGCAAACGTCTCTAAACTCTGACTCAGATTTCAAGGACAAGGAACAAGCCCTGAGGAGATGCTCTACCCGTGGTGGGAGCTGAATCTTTACCCGTGTCAACCTGGGAAAGCAGATGTCCACTCCCAGGCTCCCCTAGGCTGGAAAGGTCTACGCCAGGGTCACTAAACTCCAGCTAGCAGCTGCCTTTTGTTCTTTTCAGCCCATGAGCTAAGAACAATTTTTATATTTTTAAATAGGTACATAAGTACATAATCACCTCCATTTTGCAACTCGTCCAACAAAATCTAAATTATTAACCATCTGGTTCTTTAAGAAAAAGTTTGCTGACCTTCACTCTACATTGTTGCCCTGGTTATTCTTCAAACCCTACACCTGCTGAGAGCCTACCTCAGGACCGAGCACCACGGAGAGGCCAGGTCTCAAGGAGCCCAGTGTGGGATAGGAAACATGATCACATCACAAGGTGACAAGTGGCATCTTAGGGGTCAGCATAGGGCCAGACACAGACGGGTCCTAAGTCTTCACAGCACTCAGTGCAGATCCAGCTAGGGAAAAGGTTCCTTCCTATATCCTAGGCCCTACTGGGCCCCTCAGCCCCGCCTCTGAATCAGCCAGGGAAGGCAAGTGCTCACTGCTGGTCCCTTCTTCCCTTGTTTCTTCCCACTGCCCTCCAGGCTCATCCCCACGAGACATGAAGTATAGGGGTGTGGGAGAATGCATGGGCCAAGGAGAATGCATGGGCCCTCCCTCAAAGAGTGCCTTTTCCCTAGCAGAGGAGCAAGAAGTCCTTCCTCTTCCCCCATCCCTCACCTGGCCAGGCTGGCTCTTCCAGGTGCCCAGTCCAATCAGGGGCATCTTCTGCCCAGTGTGCAGGAGGACACAAGTCGCCATTGTCCCCTGAAACACAGATGAGAAGAGAATGGTGTGGGAGTCAGTGCTGCTGCTTGGGCGTCGGCTACCCTCTGGTCAAGACTCATGTAAAACATGGGAGGTAAAGGGGGCACAGAGGTGACAGGAGAACAAACACACGCCAGTAACTCCTGGATAAACACTAGCCAGACCTCCAGGCTGGCTGGCCTTCCCTCTAGCAGGCTAAAGGTCTGTGTTAACGTGCTCCAGTATCGAAAAACAGGCGGACAGCTCCCCAGAAGTACCGAGCCTTGGCTGTATAAGGTCTCAAGCCAGCTTAAGACAAGCAAAGGCCATTATAAGACAAAGTGAGACCGAGTGACAGAATAGGCTCGGGAAAGGGTCCTTCCTCTGAGGATGAAATGAACGTTCCCAGGAGGCTGTCAGAACTACAGAGACTCTCTGGAGTCCCTGTCACAGAGATCTGCTCTGCCATGCTGCTGGGCCGGAGTGGGGTCTTACACAGGAAGATGCCATTTTTCAGATGGAAAAAACCGGCTCAGTGCTAAGTAGCAGAGCCAATGAGTCAAGGAGGAGCTAATGGAAAAAGGCAAGAAAAGGCAAACACAGGCCTATAAAACTCATGTGCTGTGCCTCACAGCAGACACACATACTCTGTGCTGCACAGAACAGCAAGGGACTTCTGTAGGCAAGGAGCAGGGAATACTGATACTGGCTTTTAAAAGTGAGTTAGACTTTCCCAAGAGTCAAGGAGAAAAGTCTTCCCAGGAAGGGGAACTAGACACAGGACTTCAGTAAAGTAGAAAGCAGTAAGTTACAGATATGAGAAAATTTTCAACTGAACAAAGCAGGTGGGTAATTGGAGCAACCTCCTTTGGAGAGCTATTAAGATCAGAAGTCTCCAAATGGCCCAAGAATACGCATTCAGTCAGCAAACGATGAATGGTCCAGGCTTCGTGCTAGACCCAGGAGACACACATATTCAAACAGAGTGCCTGCCTTCCTGATGGGGGAAGATAGAGGATATCGACACAATACATAAACGACCAAAATCTGCGCAAATGCGGCAAGAAAGGAGTAACCCGGCTAGGATTGCTTCCTGGAGGTGACATCTGAGTCAGGCCTTCATGAACAGGAGTTAGTCAAGTGAAGGTAAAAGAGAAAGCATGTTCCCCCCAAGAACCAATAAGGTAAGAACAACCTCCCCCTTGATCTCATCAGTACCACAAATACTACTCTCTCAGGACTGATTTCATTGCCAACTTTATTATCATAACCTTTATTTACAAGTTCTGAAAAGACATCAAGAATATTACGGTAAAGCAGGTAACAGGACAAGTTGCAAGTATAACCAACACCCCAAAATTGTCTTTCCTAATACTTCTGATTCAGGAAGAATTTCATAGTCTAGCATAAGCTTGCGGAGACCACACTTTCTGCTAAAACAAAAACAAAAACGTTCAATCTAAGCAGCAAACCACAGACTGCTGAGGGCAACACTCTTTGTTACCAAACTTCCCAGGGACACAGACTGCCCAGGGATCAGGCAAGCATGTCTGGACTTCACAGGAGGAACTAGCCTGCCAGCTGCCACCAGGGTCTGTGGTTGCTTTCCTGGGCTTGATCCCCAACCAGTGACCTTTTGGCCTCTCCCAGATTTACCAGAACGAAAGTGAGGCTCTGAAATTACACCTGAGCTGAATGTGGGAACAAACACCCGGCCTAAGGGGAAAAGGAAGAAGAAACTTGATGCTTGCCTCTCCCTTTCTTTTGCTGGTGAAACTGAAAATCAAAAAGGCTAAGGCTTGGGGGGAGGGGATCATCCAGGTAGAAACATCTAACAAAGGCCTGCAAAGAAGAGCTCCAACAAATAAAATGGAGGGCAGAAGACAGATGTTTTTCTCAAGGACAGGAAGTTATCCCCTGCCAGCTCTAGTCTTCCTCATCTTCTGCCTGAAGCAATGGCCTTCCAGCCAAGCCCTGCATTAACAGGCTCTGAGCTTGTCAAGAACTGCCTCACTGGACCTCTGGCAGTACTCAAACACCCTCATGTTATCTTGGGAGACGTTCTAGATGGAAAAGAGAGAAGCTGGGTGCACATGCGGAGGGGGACAAGATGGTAACATCAGGACTCAGGTTTTATTATTCCCAAGTCAGTGCCTAGATTCCTTCGCTCTGGGGCTCAGTCTTTCCTTCTTGGAGGAGGGCTCAATGGTTGCTGCCTGGATGCAGGAAACTCGAAAGCACAAGAAGAAGAGGAAGCAGTATTTCCATGACTGTTTCCTGGCTGCATGGGCCCTTCCTCTGCCTCCCTTAAAAGTTGGTGTCCCTCAGCGTTCTGTTCCCAATCCCTTCTCACTCCTTAGTTAAGCTCGTGTCTTCAGTTACTACCTTAAGCACTAATTCTTCCTACCCCAGTCTGTACATTTACCTCCTTCTGGACATCTCCACCAGTATGCCCTATAAGTACCTGAGACTCAAAATGTGCAAAACTGTACTTATCAAATCCAGCAACAGAGCACAGAGGAAACAGTTCAAGCTCTGCCGTTGCTTGCATCCCAGCTCTGGAGCTACTACAGCTAAAGCACTCTGCGCAGTGCCTGACCCATGCTCTTCCTGCTGTATACCACAGACTTAAGGCCCTGGAGGATAAGTATTAAAGCAAACCAAACAACATGTTCACAGATAATCCATGGAGGTCTTAAAAAAGCCATCTAAAGAAAGTATTTCAGTTTATTTGAGGCATTTCTGAGTATTATCAGATTAGGGTTTTGACAGGTGATGGGGAGGAGAATGTATCTTCTCCTGTACTTCAAAGAAGACAGCATGGAAAACCACCTTACATATGTAATGGTGGCTAAGATTTGATCTATCTGGCTGCACTAAAAATCCTGTCAATATTTGTAAATATTAAAAAAAAAAAAAACCACTTGCTCTAAACTGTAATGTAAAACTTAAGATTGCAGTAACACTTCCTGTACTTCTTGAGGTATTCCAAAAGAATTTTAAAACATGTACTTCCTAAATCTTTACCCATCCCACCCAGATTCAACTCTAAGATCACTGTTCTAGCTATGACCACCCCTACCAGACCCAGGGATCTCTCTGCTTCCTGTGCAGCCCCTCTCCCCACAAAGAATTCACCAAATCCGACCATGTGACTCTCAGGCTCTACCTCTTCCAACTGTGCTTCTGTACTCTCAGTATAAAGTCCAGACTCCTTAGTAATACCCTTAATAACCTGGCTCCCTCTTCCCTCATTTCTCCACCCCTTCATTTCAGACTCCATGTTCCAGACTTGTCAGAATCAGCCACCACTTACTTGACTCCAGGCCTGGGCACACTTTCCTTCCCCAAGTCCCACCCTTGCCTGGGTAACAACAGGTTACCATTCAGCTAGCACTTTAAATTTCTGGCTCCTCCCACGTACTGATAGCTTGTGCACATCACTGCATTTGTTTGTTCATTTAAGTCTCCCCAGCAAATCTAGGTACTCCTTGAGGTCTGGGCCTACCACCTGTCTAAACTCCTCACTCCTAGAGAGCCTGCCTCCCCATGCCAGCACCCCCACCAACAGAGGCAAATGGGGGAGGTCTTGACAGCTGAAGGGGCATTTGATAAAGTCATTACCTTCTTCCTTTACTTCTTGGATAACCTGGAAAGAATCATCTCTGGAAAATATAGCATTTTACCATCTTCAATTAAAAAAAAATCCCAGTGGCTCCAGAAAAGATGATACTGGGATTGCTCTTGTGTTACACATAAGAAAACTGAGACCTTGAGAAAAGCAACAAAACTGGTAAGAAACATCAAGACTCTTCTAGGGAGGTCCTGCAGTCCTGAGTATCGACTGGCTGAAGGGAAGAGTTAATAAATAGCAGCCCCATCCGGTGAAGGTTCAGATTCCAGTCTCATTTTAACAGAGCACTGGAACAACAGGAAAACGTGATGGCTTTCCCAAACCCAAGGTGGAACTGGTGCCTAAGCAAGGTGGAACTGGTGCCTCTCCTGCCACTTCTGAGAAGTATCTCTGCAATTCCACAGAAAAGCTAGAGTTCCTACAAAAATTGTGTTGATGGGCAAACAAAATGAAGATGGCAACTAAAACTTACAGATAATATGTACCGGGTGCCTTAAGAGCTTTATCTCATTTAATTCTCGCTAGTTCTGATGCAGGAACTGATTTTACGGCTGAGAAAACTGAGTTCCAGAGAAGACTGAGACCTTGTCCAAGATCACATACCGAATAACAGGAAGAGTTCAAATTCTAAACAGAATCTGGTCGCCTCTAGAGCCTCTGCTCTTTGCACTATCCCGGGGGCAGACATCTCTGTAGTAAAGGTTCGAGGCCAACTCCACTGCGAAAAAGATGCGGCAGCAGAGGAGAAACTCACCTCGGCACAAGCACAGAACGTAAACAGCGAGGTGTGGTCTCTCGGTTCAGTCCTGTGCCCTGCTGGCGACCCAGTGGGTCTCAGCTTCTGGGATTCGTGGGCAGCAGGGTAAACCCGCCTGAGGCTGGAGGCAGGAACTCGGCTCTAGACAGGAACTCGGCTCTAGACAGGAACTCGGCTCTAGACGCGC